CGAATATATGCTTATTCTCTAAATCGGCACAATACATGCAAAACAAAAGAGAACGAATAGCCCAAGGCTTCCAAGAAAACATTGAGTACATTAAGCCTCGGAAATTCGGCTTCCAGATGCTTGTTAGCCAGGATTTCGTCGTGTTCCTATATATTGGCGACTAGCATACCATAGCCTTATGCAAAGGCTAAAATAAATGCTGAGAGAATTTTTGTATTTGTTGTAAATTGTTTTTTTAAATTATCCAATTTGTTGCAAAATTTTTAAAATTTCCAAACACATTTCCGTTAAAAAGGGTCAATTTAACACGTTATGAAGTGGTAAATAGTTCGATTATTTGTTAATTTTTTTCTTGTGAATCGTTTCCCTATACACTGGAAGAAGGTCCTTTCGGAATGAGCGCATTAAGCTTGCATGAAGTTTCTGTTTGAAATCAAAATCCAAATTAAAGATATTACATCACCAAAACGTAAGATTATACAAATCTTTGACGAATTGTGTGATATACTGTCCAAAGTGGCTGATTTATCAGAATTTATACGCATTGCTCATCCCAACGCAAGCCGCTGAAGATGCCTGCACTGATATTAGCAATACGGCGGAGCATTTAAATGCGTGTATTCAGCATTGAGTCGTTTACAAGAAATTGTAGATTTACTGAAACCCATTGGAAACAATACAATACGGTGTAAAACTGCCAATTGTGTATTGGTTTATTTCTAAACGCCTACATGTCAGCATGTTTAGCTTGCGCGACGTCCGCAGTATCTACTAATGCCTTGTCACGTGCGTTCAGAACGTTGCCAATTGCTGCTATAGATGCGTATAAATTTCGTCATCGGCTTGTCAACGTTAATGCTATTTCATCGAGGACGACCGGACGAGCGGAAAAAATCTAACCAATTATCCAATTGTAGCGCTAGGCACATCCTGTTCCTAATTATAGATAATACACCCTGAGAAATAAAACCTTTTAATAATATGGATTTTCAATGCAGCATTCTGAAAGCATCGAACTTTAATTTCTCATACTTCAACAGAATCGAATTTTAATTTTTCACATGTTTTCATTCGAAGCGTTGCAGTGTTGTTAAAAGCAACTCTGTGTTCTCTCCATTCTCCGCAACTGGTTCTTTTTTTTATAAACACTGTAAAGGAAAAAAGCTAACGGCTTTTAGCGAAAAATCAAAGCCATTTTGCAAGCGCACAGAGAAGTTCGACAAATTGCTGAATAAAACGAGATATGTTATAAAGAAAATTGAAAAAAAAAGAAAAGAAGAAACACAAAATAAAAGTTTATATTGCATTAAAAATTACTATTGCGTTAAATAAGTTTAAATATATAGAGAAATTGTAAAAAAATGCATAAAGAAGTTCGACAAAGTCAATAATTGCGAAAAAAAAATTTTAAAAAATTTCAAAGGTTAATTAGAAGAAGTTTTTGAAATATTTACATAAAACCGAAAAAAAAAACCAAAAAAGTTATGAAATGAAAAAAACAGTTAGTGTATTAAAACACTTTACAAAAAAAAAGTATTGTATTAAAATATGTAGCAGTTAATATGTAAGCAAACTCTAATATAGTTTCGAGGACACATTTGCATTACGTGTATGTATGGCATATTTTGGGTTATTTTATATATATTTATATTTATATATATTGTCTTCATTATTATGAAAAATAGAAGAGAGAAGAAAAATTGTATGAGCTATGAAGTTGTACTTGATGTATGCGAATGAACAAGTATAAATGTTAGGTTTTTTTAAAATTAAGCAAATTATGAATGCATATATGTGCGATATAGAATAAGGAATGTGTCATAGATGCACAAATGTGCTGTATAGGATATATATAATTTATTTTTACAGATGTGTACATATGGGAAGTGTATCAAGTGTACCGTCTATATCAATTGCGAGATTGAATCGCTTTAACAAAAGAGGGATCTGTTATGGACGGCAAAAGTCTGAGGAAGTGCCGTTCAAACAATTATGTAAATATTAGTGCGAGTTGTCGCGGACTTAAATGAATGAACTTAACACATCCGTTCAGAATTACATCGTTGTCAAGGGCCAGGATAGTATTGATAGTAGCACTCCCTAGCATTGGTGGTTATGCCACGAATAGGCCTTTTCCCTTCGGCATTTGATCATCCATAATTAACGCAAACTGTGCGCACACAACTCTTGCTTGTGTAAAAGCGCCATTGGATTATACAATACATGCAAAATTATTGAAAAATGTAAACAAATGTGTGGACGCTTATTCTCAGATGATTGGCATTTTTAAAAATTATTGAGAACAAATACGCTATTTTCTCTAAAGCGCCATTAGATTATACAAATATATGCAAAATTATTGAAAAATGTAAACAAATGTGTGGACGCTTATTCTCAGATGGTTGGCATTTTTACAAATTATTGAGAACATATGCGCTATTTTCTCTAAAGTTCATCGATAAGCAAGTAGTCCTTCTTCTCTTCGACTACTTCTGACCAACACTCCTCCTGTACGGTCCATAGTCTGTTGATCAGCGCCATTATTTCTACGGATGATCGGCACCTTCTGTTGCTATTGCTGGCTGCCATGTTGCTGAAAAATCTTTCCAACAGATCTTGGCTTACCCTGTATGGCGCGATTGTTATGCCAGTGTAAGCCTCCAGCAGCTCTTCCATAATTGCTTGAAAGTTCGTGATTGTTGCTTGGATGTCCGCAGCTAGGTGGTCCCCAAAAAATTCGCTCTGCAAGTAATCTTCTACGTCTTTCTTTTTTCAGCTCTGTCCATGTTTCGCTGCTGATCGTTTCCCGATGGAAGACGTTTACGAACTTCCTAATTATCGCGGTTAAGTCGCAAACTGCTTTCGCTTTTCCGTCGGTATCCTCGATTTCATCATTGTCGATTGCCGCTTGTAGTGTTGCGATCTGCGCATCGCTCATCACCTGCATCGAAATGGCCATCTTCCATCTCTTGCTGTAGGCCGGCATCCAGCCTCTTCGTTGTCAATAAGAACTACTTTTCGGTCGCATTTGTGACGCTATGGACAGTACATTGAGATCAAAGCGTTCTTTGTCGTCATGTAGTTTACTCATAATTGCTTTTACTATATGGGGATAGTCGTACACAAGCCGGATGCAATGTGTGCTGCCGTCTGCCCGTTTTCTATTGTATATATTGTTGTTTCCAAATATTCGGGTATGCTGTAAATTTGCGGGATTTCGGTCGCAGACGACAGCTCTCACGTCCAGCCCCAACTCTTCAGCTGCTTTGATGTTTTGTTCTAAAACCGGTCCCACTTTTTCGCATATTTTTGTGTTAATTCTTCGCATATATTCGTACAAGTGCTTTTATATAATATATAATCTTGTATATATAAATGTATAGAAAAAGAGCATTTATCTCCCCTTGAATGTCTCCTGACTAGTTTTATTCAATTTTTAGAGACCTGGCGTTCGAATTTCGCATATTTTTGAACATTTTGGGTTAATTCTTCGCATGTATTCGTACAAGTGCTTTTATATAATATATAATCTTATATATATAAATGTATAAAAAAAGAGCATTTATGTCCCCTTGAACGTCTTCTGACTAGTTTTATTCAATTTTTAGAGACCTGGCGTTCGATTTTCGCATATTTTTGAACACTTTGTGTTAATTCTTCGCATATATTCGTACAAGTGCTTTTGTATAATATATTTTATTTTATTTATTTATTTTAATTCTACTTATACATGAAACCCAACTAAACAAATAACAGTCAAGTTCAATTGGCTCTCAATGCAAAACTTATATTAAATAATAATAAAACTTAGTATAAGTACAATAAAACAAATAAGAAGGAAAAAAAAAAGAAAAAAAGCATGTACACAATCAGCATAGAGCCACACTTACAACCGGTACAGGACCAAATTGCAAATGAACCCCTAAGCCATCGCAAACATACACAAGTCTGACAACCGAAATAATTAACAATAATTCATTTTCGAATCGTAACGAATTTTTAAGGATAAAAGCTAGCCTAAGTACGACATAGGTAAATCATGCGTATTAAGTAATGTTGCTTCAATGGACTTTAAAGAGTCCGATAACGAGAATAAGTGATAGACGTCATTTCAGTTCTTGCAAACTACTCTGAGCGGATTAAACAGCTCATAATTAAATTTACACTGATTAAGCTTAACCAAGATAAAGCGAGGTGATGGAGTTAAACAAAACCCTGAAGGATCTATTGTGCAGATAAGGGCTTATCCATTTCACTAAGTAGGGTGGGAAGCCAGACGCTTGGAGTTTGAAGATAAGTAAGTTATGGTTAACCATTTCAAACGCTTTGCTTAAATCAGTGTATATCACATCTGTGCGAGAGCCACTAGAAAAAGCCTTGAAAACATGACAAGTAAACTCTAACAAGTTGGTGACTGTAGATCGCCCTTTTCGAGAGCCGTGCTGGTGCGGAGAAATATACGAATTAATGGCAAAGGCCAAATGCTGAGTCACAATTCTCTCGAACAA